ATACCTATGGCAGTGCAAGACAAGCCATATTTCTATTTGATTGATCTCTTCCATACTTGTCATAAAGGCGTCCATGCCGAACTTGCTGGCTCTGGGCTGGAGCTCCTCTCGCATAGTATGTTTTGTTTAGCCGACCATATAAATCTGAAGCTCCCTAAGCCCTGATCAATGTATTTATTAGCCGAGGTTAGTCTCTGGGACTTCAAGCTGACTGGATCCTCTGCCAGAGGTCTGGACAAGAGCCTGGAACATTTGTTTCAGGAGATGAAAGCATTTTCTTCTGATCGAAAGCTTTATCTGCACATGAATGGATTGACTGCAAAGGGGATTTTGGGGGTCAACTCATCAGCAGACTTCCCTGTTGGGTGCCTTCACTGCTTCGCATTTTTTTGTATCGAAACACTTTGTCTTGTATATAAGACAAACCTTTGTGCATCGTCGCTTTCTCTCTTTTGCCGAGGCAGTGGTTTAAGGGGGCCGACACAACATTCGTCCTCAAGTTTCTCATCTTCAAGTTCGAGAATGAATTGGCTCCCGGTCACAATGATATTGAGTATCTCCGAACAATTCTGGAGTGCTTGAAAGCTTCCGATGGGTTCTTGAGCTGTTTGCACAAGGCCGGCTTGTTTCTCAGCAGACGACGACTTATAAAGGTTGTGCGACTGGGGATGGCGATGCTTACTTTGTACACTCGCATCGCAGCAATGGCACACTCAAGATCCTTGCCTCGCTTCAAGCTCACACCCAAATACCATATGCTTATGCATGTGGTTTACCAGTTGATGCTGGACAGGGATGCCAACAGATCACCCATCAACCCTCTGGCATACTCATGCCAGATGCCAGAGGACTTTATTAATCGTGTTGCCACTCTGGCAAGGGCTGTGAACCCAAGGTTTGTGCCCGAGAGAACTTTGTACTTGTACAAGGTCGCACTCGCAAAGGTGTGGGAGTGAAAAAGTGCGAGGGATGTCGATTCATGTCCTTTTCTGCTGATCTCTCAGAAGGGAGGTTTAGGCCACCAACAAAATACTCGACACCAGTGGCGAGTTTAAAGAAAGTCGCACAACTACGGTTTACCAGGAAGCGCTAAGCCTTAAAAGAATAGTAGTAGTACTTCTGTCGTAATACCCATGGGCTCCATAGTAGTTCCTTGTTCTGTGGCTTATATTTAGGATCCTGTAAGCAAAAAGGAACTACTATGGAGCCCATGGGTATGTAGTATTCCCTAAGGGTCCATGTAGCCAAATAGATATACTTTGGCCCCAAAGTACCCAAATAGGGACTACTTTAAGGCCAAAGTATAGCTATTTGGGTACATGGACCCTTGGGGAGTACGAAGAATCAGAGGATCCCGCTCGTCGGGATTCCTGGAAAGCCCAGGTCCTCAGCCCCCAAACACTGTCCTGATTATAGCGGTTTTAGGGTTTTAGGGTTTAGGGTTTTAGGGTTTAGGGTTTTTGTGGTTTAGGGTTTTAGGGGTTTAGGGTTTCGGTTTAGGGTTTTAGGGGTTTAGGGCTTTAGGGTTTAGGGTTCATGGTTTCGGTTTAGGGTTTTAGGGCTTAGGGTTTTAGGACTTTAGGGTTTTAGGGATTTAGGGCTTTAGGGATTCGGGTTTAGGGTTGATGCCCCCACCTGAACCCTGTTTAGGGTGTAAGGTTTTGGGGGTTTTACCTTACAGTTACCTACCAAAACCTACCTTTTTAATAGTTCTTCGTATCAACCTTAACATGACATTTAAAGGGACCCTCCAAAACAGTAGCGGTCGGTTAAGGTAGAGATTTGTTTGTTGTTCGGGCCCCTGACAGTATTTATTTCTACTGAAGACACCTCTGCACTCCGAAGTCGAAACACCCACGCCGGACAGCCAAGCATCGGGATGTCGACCACAAGCCCTAAACCCTAAAATCCCTAAACCCTAAGCCCAAAACCCTAAACCCTCAACAGCCTTGAACAGAGGACCTGCGTCATCCCAACATTGTGGCATGTCTTGGCTTTGAATGCACGACCCTCCGGCTACCGATTAAGAGTCAGGGCCCTTTGGTTTAACTTAAGTTACCATAATGAATAGGGAGCTATAGTAAAGAATAGGGTTTTCCTTATTATGCCAACTTAAGTTAAATCCCCTTAGCAAGAGCCCAGTTTGGGGGGGGGCAGGGCTGGTTAGGGTTTGACGTTTCGAGCTCGGTAACTTAGGTTTCAGTGCCAGGACTTGTTGCACGGGTTCTTTTAAGGAGCCTTGCGTGCTAGATGGTGTTTCAGGGGTTTCGGGCTCAGGGTGTGGGATTCTTGGGCCTAGGGCCTTTGGGGGTTCAGGCTTCAGGCGGTGATTCGGGTCTTGGGCTTGCTTGCTCCACCTCGGGGGATTACGGGGTACTGAGCTGCTGGTACTAAACCCTACAAACCCTAAAGCGGTCTTATAGGGTGTTCATAAGGGGGCCACAACAGTTACCAGTAGTATTCCTTTCCTTTTTAACATCTCAACACCCTCGTCGACTTGTGCAGGCCCCTTTATTATGCGAGTTGTAAATGGGTTCTGTAGTTTTTTCAAGCGGCTTTTCAGGGTTTAGGGTTTAGGGTTTCCAATGTTCGGCTTCAAGGCTTTAGGGCTTATAGGGTTTAGGGTTTTCAACGAGCGGCTCTTTAAGGGGCTTGACTAGCTTTTCTAGGGTCGAGGTCTCTTTGTTACATGGAGGCAGCATCTACAATCTACAGAGCTCAAACCCCGGTTTCGCTCCTCACCGCCCGCTCCAGGGGCATGAAAGCAGGGCCGGCTTAGTGTTTAGGGTTTAGGTTTTAGGGTTTAGGGTTTAGGGTTAGCTCCGGTTCAACTCCTGCAGACCCTCACGGCCAAAGCCACCAGACAGTGTAGAGCTGAAGACCCTCCATCTCGAGACACCTCAAGAAGGAGCCCTTCCCTTAGCCCCCAGCCCAAACTGCACACGCTCAGATCCCAAGCCCTGACCCTAAAGGCTAAGTAGTCGTTACCTGGCGATCCCAATCAGAGGGCGCATTTCAACCGAGCCATCCCCTAACACCTCCTGGGCATGACCCGACACCCCCAGAGACAGCAAGCTCTTGCCCTACGGCGCCAAGTACGTGAAGGTTTAGGGTTTTGGGTTTTGGGTACCCGCTCAGAGAACAGTGTTGGGGGCCCAAACCTTGCTGTAAGGCTCCCTCACAAGAGCGCACTACCGACGGTTTGAGGGATCGGCCGAGCTTCGCTAGAAGCCTGGATCGGGTTTAGGGGTTTACAGGGTTTGGGGTTTAGGGAACCAAAAAGAAGCTCAACAAGAAGAACCCTGAAGACCCGAGGAATGATACCTTCTACATTTACCTGGAATATGCTGCCGGGCTGGAAAGATTGGCGCGGAGATGAAGAAGTTCGGTTTATAGGGTTCGGGGCTTCAGGGGGTTTAGGGTTTGGGGGTCTGGGGGTTAAGGGTCTAGTAGTCGAGGGGTCTAGGGGTTTAGGGTTTAGGGGCCTAGGGGTTGGGCTCTGGCGGTCCAAGGGTTTTTGGGATTAGGGGTCTAGGGGTTTAGGCTTTAGGGGTCTGTGGGGTTTAGGGTTCAGGTGTTTCAAGGTTCAGGGTTTATGTTTGTAGGTGATGATAGTTAAGCTGCACATGCCTGCCGACGTCCGAACTCCTTGTGGAGGGAGAGGACGAGGGTTTGGGGGTTCAGCGTTTTGGGCTTACGACTTGCCGTTTATGTTGAGATTGGGTGTCTATCGACCCTTCTGCTACGGTTTGGGGTTTAGTGTTCAGAATTTGGGGTCTAAGTGCGCTTTTCCAACACATCCGAGAGCGCAGAATCCCTCCAGAGCAGTTTGCTCCAGGTGAAACGGTCAAGCCCTGAAGCCCTGCACCCGAAAACCTTAAACCCCAAGCCCTAAGCCCTAAACCCTAAACCCTAAGCCCTAAACCCTAGCCCTAAGCCCTAAGCCCTAAACCCTAAACCCTAAGCCCTAAACCCTAAAC